GTACATATTCCTTGTGGATGGGGATGGTTCTAAGATGAAAAAATCAGGATTGATGTATAATAATCTTGCCAGAAATCTCATTGACCAGTTTCTGATGATATGTCATAGAGAGTCGAAAGTAACCGATGCCTTTTCTTTCCCTACTCAGGTGAGGTGCCAAGGGGCGATGAAGAGAGGGAGTGCGCAGAGCAACCGATCCAAGTGCTGTTCCTTCGGCATCCACAATTCCAGCCACTTCCACAACCCCTGCACCCCCGCAGAGGAGGGCTCGTCCAGTGCGCAGCACAACCCTCTCCGTGAGTACTCTCTTCACTTCAATCACCCACTTTAAAGATTTTCCTTTTGTGTGAGCTTACAACGATTTTCAAGCAATTTGTCTTAAATCGTTCGCTATTAACACGGTAGATTCAACGTTATCTAGGAAACCACGCCAAATCTTCTTTTACACTGCACACATATTTCGCCGGTCACAATCAAGAACCAACACCCTAGACATGGCATTTGCAGAGTTCGCATCCTTCTAACCCGATATGATTACTGAATTTATTTTTCACTCCTGCTACTACATTACTGTTTGAATCCATCTGGCTTGGCAACTTGCCAATTTTCCAGCATTTTAGCACCATTTTCTTTCATTTCAATGATTGATTGAGTTAATAATTTAATCATAGTTCTGTGGTTCCAGAAGTCTACATCAATTAATTGATTTATTTAATTAATGAATGAATAATTTTAATTTTATTTATTATGATTTATTAATTGTTTCATTTATTTACATATAATTAGTATTTACAAGATATAGTTTGGGGCTTGATAGCCGAATGATTAGCGCTATGGTGCACTGTGCCAGAGAGTTCGAGTTCCGGTGGTGCCATGGTTGTTTGTAGAGGTTCGGAATCTACTTTAAGCCGTACGTCCTGGTCTAACATGTCGGTCTTGGCTGACGACCATGGGACTGTTGTGCCAATGATGATGATGAATACAGTATTACATTATTAGTATTTACGAGATATATTTATATGATATAGTACTTACTACTGTACCCAAACAGTAAAACCAATTTTCAATTTAAATTTCCCGGGAATATGGAATTTCAACTCTTTTTTTCTTTTTAGGTTGCCGGCATTGTCCTCGACATCTGTGTGAAATTTGACGTCAAAATAGTCATTAGTGTTTGAGTTACGCTTGGCTTTGTGAGACGCTAATACTGATACCGGCGATTTTTGAAATGTCTGAATTCATTGAGCAAAGAACTTGCATTCAATTTTGTTTGCGGAAAAACAGAATGTTGCAGAAGGCATTCGGTGAGCATTCCTATATCGGAAAGAAATGTTTACAAGTGGTATAAACAGTTAACAGAAGACAGAGAACGCGGTGAAGACGATGAACCCTCTGGTCGACCCTCCACCTCAACCGACGACACTGCATTGATTCTTCGTGACTGTTTCGCCGAAAATGAAACCCATATCGTTCCTCAACCACCGTGTACCGTGCGACTTCTGGCTATTCCCTAAACTCAAAAGACCACTTCGAGGACACCGTTTTGAGTGGATTGAAGAGATTCAATCTTTTGACACGCATTGAGGATTGGGAAAAAGTTGGCATAAGTGTTTTGTGTCCGGAGGGGATTACTTTGAAGACGATGAAATAAATTTGGAAGAATAAATAAAGTGTTTTTGAAAATAATAATAATTGATCTTCCTTTTTTGGGCACAGTACTTTGCATCGGGTAATAAAATGCCACTTCTTTATCTTCTCACTCATTAACTTTACCATCCTTTCTGATTCTGGAGAACATTTCATGAAAAGATACCATAATATAACCCATTAATCCACCTGCGAAACCTGTGACGAAGAACAGAACAGCCTGAAAAGCACCCAACATATTTTAAACCCCAAGGAAGAAAAAAAAATAAATAAAGCAATTATTTTGAACTGCCAGAAAATCTGTGGTCTCCTCTCACAGGCAGTTTGGTGACTCACGGCGTCAGTGGGCAATGAGCACGGAGCATCTCAAAAAGTTTGTTTTTTACGACTTCTTCACGACGCCCCTATCATGGAACATTTAATAATTTTCCCAAAAAATGGTGGCATTCGCAAAGATGGCAAATGGCCTCCTTAAAGTCCCTCCTCAACACTTCTTCTCACCACATCCCGAACAACTTCTTTTTCTTTTTATTTTGTCTCGATTTCTTCCAATTCCAACTGACAACTTTAATCAAAATAAAATCTACTTCCCCGCTACTCTCTCGAATGAAATCTTCGCCATTGCTGGTGGGCTGTCTTCTGAGTGCAGTTAGTGCGCCTGGCGAGTTCTGTAAAGCGCATGGTCGCTTTCACACAGACATTTTACATTTATTAAAGCGATAAAAACTCCTTTTCTTTTTAGTTAGTGGATGGAAATGCTTTTCGGATGAGATGCTCATTATAATACGAATTGAAATTACCCTTACAAAAAATGTTCCTCTTTTAACTAAAGTGCAACCTAATTACAGTTATGATACCATCCTCAACCGATCTGTGGCATCATGGATTATTTTTAAATTTGCGTTTATTATAAATTTGATTTATACAGATCTATAGATGAAATAATTTTTTTAATGGTAGATGATAGAAATTCGTTAAGTAAGATTTGTACTACTGAGCCCAAAAAGTAAAACCTATTACTTTTTTTTTTTTTTTTTCAAAACTCTGTATTTATTCTTCTAAATTTATTTCATTGCGTTCAAAGTAATCCCCTCGGACACAATATACTTATGCCAACCGTTTTTCCAATCCTAACTGCACTTGTTCTTGACTCGGAAGACAACCACCAGCAATGGCGAACATTTCATTCGAGAGAGTAGCGGGGAGTGGATTTTATTTTGATTAAAGTTGCCAGATGGAATTCGAAGAAAATGAAACAAAATAAAAAGGAAAAGAAAAGAAGAAGAAAAAAAAAGCAAAGAAGTGACTCGTGATGTGGTAAGAAGAAGTGTCGAGGAGGAACTTGACGAAGGCCATCTGCCATCTTTGGTAATGCCACCATTTTGAGGAAAAAATTAATAAATGTTCCATGATAGGGGCGGGAAGAAAGTCGTAAAAAACAAACTTTTAAGAGGCTCCGCGCTCATTGCCCACTGACGCCCTCAGTCACCAAATTACCTGTGAGAGGAGACCAAAGACTTTCTAGGAGTTTAAAATAATTGCTTTTTCCCCCTCCTTGGTGTTTAAAATCTTTTGGGTGCTTTTTTCAGGCTGTTCTGTTTCTTCGTCACAGGTTTTCCAGGTGGATTTATGGGTGATAGTGTGGTATCTTTTCATTAAATGTTCTCCAGAATCAGAAAGGATGGTAAAAGTTAATGAGTGAGAAGATAAAGAAGAGGAATTTTATGATCTGATGCATACTTTGGAGGAATTGTTTGAAAGGGGTGTTTGTTTGTTTGTTTGTTTGTTTGTTGGAGTTGGGAAGGTAGGATTCATTAGAGATGAAGAATTTTGTAATTACAAAAGAGGATTTGTCGAACTCTTTTTCTTGAATCTCTTACACGCATTTTATCGCTTTGATGTAAAGGCGTTGGAAGGATGAGTATGCAGTTTTAAATGAAACCCTTATAAACAAAGTAACAAATGCGAATGATTTATTCAATCCTGCAAATCATAACACTTGGACAATGCACGTATTTTCGTCTGAACCGCAGCATGAAGGAATTACAGGTCTCTGGTTGTATTGGAATTTGTCAGCTCTACAGCGCGACTCTGGGTGACGTAGGTGTTGTAAAATTATTTTTCTCCAGACTCTCAAATGAGCAGTTACTACCGAGGTGTTGATATCAACTCTGGCAATACATTGCCAGGGTTCCCTACAGGTGAGCTAAGACCATCTGTCTACTGGCAGCTTTTGAGACAGGAGATGGTTTCTTTTTACCGTGCATTGGGCTGTCAACCCTACGCTAAACGCTCCATCCGGATATACTATGTATTAAACTAGAACCTACGGTTTAAAATGGATTCGAACCACTACAAACATCCATGACACCACAGGGGCTCGAATCCGAAATATTTGGCACCGAGCGCCAGTCCCTCGATCCTCCGATCTCACACAACATATTACTTAATATATGTTTGTGCAATATACCTTTTTGTTGATACATTTTTCATCATAGTGATCAATAGTTTCATTAATAATAATCATAAATCGCTTTAATAAATGTAAAATGTCTGTGTGAAAGCGACAATGCACTTTACGAAACTCTCAAAAGCGCACCAACTGCACTTGTTCTTTAGTTGGAAGACAACCCCCATCAATGGCAAAAATTTCAATCGATAGAGTAGCGGGGAAGTAGATTTTATTTTGATTAAAGTTACCACATGGAATTCGAACAAAATTAAACAAAATAAGAAGAAAAGTAAAGAAGAAGGGACTCGTGATGTGATGAGAAGAAGTGTTGAGGAGGGACTTTAAGAAGGTCATTTGCCATCTTTGCTAATGCCACCATTTTTTTCTGGAAAAATTAATAAACGTTCCCGGATGGGAACCCCAATTCACCCAATTGCCTGTGAGAAGGAGACCACGGACTTTTTGGCAGTTCAAAATAATTGCTTTATTTATTATTTTTTTTCCTCCTCGGCGTTTAAAATGTGTTGGGGGCTTTTTCAGGGATGTTCTGTTCTTCGTCACAGGTTTTGCAGGGGATTTAAGGGTGATATTATGGTATCTTTTCATTAAATGTCCTCCAGAATCAGAAAGGATGATAAAAGTTAATGAGAGAGAAAACAAGTAATATATAAAAAAAAAAATTTTTAAAGTCAAATCCTACTTTTTTCACTCTATTGCAGAAAGTCCTTTAGAAATATTTTTCATTCATTTTTTAAGTACATCTGGTGCCCTCTATTGGTAGATACATGCAACTTAAATCTAAAAAGAAACTAAAATAAATTAATTAAATTTAATTACTGAAATAATATTTGAAAAAACTGTATTAACAGCCAGTGTCATCCACTACAAGTTAAAAAAGCCAACGGCCATACCATGCTGAATATACCGGTTCTCGTTAGATCACCGAAGTCAAGCATCATTGGGCGCGGTCAAGTGACCGCCTGGGAAACCGCGCGCCGTTGGCATTCACAAATTTGGGACCTGAATGGCCGCCGAGTGTCTAGCGCTCTGGCTCTCGGTGCCCCAGGTTTCGGGTTCGAATCCTGGCGGTGCCATGGATGTTTGTAGTGGTTCGGAATCCAAACGTAGGTCCCGGTCTCCTATGACTGTAAGAGCGTCACGGAGCCAAAGTCAGACTTCTACCTACGGGTGCTCCATCACAACAGAAGCTGCTTCCTTCCTCTTCAATCAGGAGTACGTATGGGCTTGTGGGCTTGGCCAGCCAAGTGGGATAAGAAACAACAACAACAGTTAAAAAAATGTATTTGAACTTGGATGAATGTGGATGAATAAAAATTATTTTATTCACGATTGAAAATTTGAACAAGATATATATAGGGAGAGTGTGAGTTAACAGAAGGAATTGAAATAAAGAAGATGAAGAATTTTGTAATTACGAAACAGAATTTGCTAAATTTTTTTCCTTGAGTCTCCTACACACGTTTTATCGATTTGATGAAATAACGTTGGAAAGCATGTATTAGAGCATACAGTTTTAAATGAAACTCTTTATTGAAAAGGGCAAATTTCAATGGTTTATTAAATCCTTCTTCATCTTCTTCATTGGCGCAATTGTGTCATGATGGGCAAGGCCATCTGCCTTACTGGCAGATTTCGAGACAGGAGATGTTTTCTTTTCACGAGGTAGGGGTTCAACCCTACGCCCAACATTCTAGAGTCATATTAGATATGGCCTGCATAGCTGAGTGTCTAGCGCTCTGGCGCTCGGTACCGCAGATTTCGGGGTAGAATCCCTTCGGTGCCACGGCGGTTTGTAGTGGAATCCTCCTTAAGCAGTAGGTCCCAGTCTCATATGAGCGTAGAGCGTCACGGAGCCCAATCCTACTTCTCAATCGCAACATTCCCAGACTGTAAAGGGTCAACTCAACTCTAGGCACAGGGATGTGGTGTGGTGGTAGTAGTAGTAGCAGTCATATTAGATCTAAAACCTACGTTTTAAATTATATTCCAAACTACTACAAGCATACATGGCATGACCAGGACTCGATCCCGAAATCCGTGGCACTGAGCTTTTCACTCTGCCACCAGGCCTCTAATTAAATCCTGCAAAATCTAATATTTAAACTATGGTTATGTATTTTCGTCTGAAGAAAATACATATTCCGAAACCTTTAGCACCGATGAATAGAGCGTTAGATACAGTAATTGATCCACATGAATTGTACTAAATGATTTTGATTAAGAAATTGGCTCTTTCGTATTGTTTAAGATACAATTATTATTACTTTTCTTCTTAGCAGAAGGACCCATGACTTCACAGTGCGTCCTTCGCATCCCAATCACTCTCCGACGGAAGCGCCCCCTGGTGTCGTACGACCTGGTGTCCTGCGAGGGCGTCACCGTGCGGCTGGTGTGCGAGACGTCATGCAGCGATCAGGGCGTGTCCTGGAGGAAGGAGGGGCGGAGCCTGACGGAGGAGAAGGAGCTCCGCCTACAAGACATCCGGCGGGAGGACGGAGGCATCTACTTCTGTGAGGTCACCGACTACTACGGGAGATCGCGGTTGGCCGCGCAGGTCATAGTGACCGTTCAGTGTGAGTTCCTCTCTCTCTTTTACTTATTTTATATTTTTAAAAGTATTAGTATTAACTTCAATATTATGTTCTTTTGAGACCTATCTTCCCTGAAGGCTGCATTCACATAATGGATTTAAGACTAAATTGGGAAGAACTAATCCTTGCTTCGACATGGCAGCCATTGAGAATGGGCGTTCCATCTATCATCTGTCCTATTAATTAAAAGAGAAGACTTATCGTTGTTTTGTTTTCTAATATTAGCTGAAATTTTCCGAGGCACCGAGGCTGCTACTGTTTCTGCACTGAAGGCTGCATTCACACAATGGACTTAAGACTAAGTCGAAAAGAACTGATCCCTCCTCCAACTTGGTAGCCAAAGAGAACGAACATTCCACCTGACACACTATCACCTGTTCTACTGATTAAAGAGCATCATTGTTTTGTTTCCTAATATTAGCTGAATTTTTTTAATACGAACATCAGGCTAAAGAATACGCTTTTTATTACCTTGCGTTCTTAGTCTTGTGTTTTAAGTCCATGGTGTGAATCCCTGTAGGAACTCTGCCAATAAATGGAATTGCTATCTTCACTATCTCAAGGTCTACCTTGCAGGCTGTTAATAAAGGTTTCTCAAGTATGATCTTTAACATATATATCTTTCGTATATACAATAAATGTGTATTCTACAATGGATCCATGCTCATTTGGATTTGGAATCGAATGAAATTACTGATACTTCGGCGAAGAATGCCCAAAAGTCTGGATCAAAATTGCCATTTCTACTTCCTTTTCAGATGGCCTTGGCAAAATCTAAAGTTATAATGCCTTATAAGAGTTAAAACTACTAAATTACAACACTAAATGTCGACAGAAACACAGTTACTACTCTCACAGGTTTAAGGATGAAGCATCACAAAAATATGAACATTTCTCCGATGGCGTAAAAATACCAAAAATGGAGCAATTGCCCTGATGTCTAGTTGCATCAAGGACCATCCCTCGGAAGAGGATATATACTCCCAACTGGCAATCAACATATTATTATCAACAATATTATTCGGGATCACCACGATATTTGATTTTCTTGTACTCTTCAGGGGATACGAGAACTACAACAACTCTGCAAATATCAATTCACCAAATCTTTTAAGAAACTAATGAAAGTAATCATTGCCTATTCAAATGAAGTAGTTCACGCCTAACTTCTTACTTGAATCAGGGTCATTTTTTTTTTCTTTTGGAAGATATTCCCAACTCTTTTCAGCAGTAATATTTTTATATTGTAAATGCTTACATAAGGGTGAAATTAAAAATATTTGGGAAGAGAGCAATAAACATCACGAGCAAAAGAAGCGAATGACTCTTCATAACATCATAGCCTAATCTTTCCAAACTCAGCTCGAATATCACATTAAACACTGATCCAACCTAGTGGTCATGCGTAACTAAATGAACGCAATCAAAGCGATAGCACTTCTTGAACTATACAGATTATCTCGCCATAAGCAATTTGTAAGATGCATCTGGTAAAAGAGCCTCACATATTGTACCATTCAGTGCAATGCCAGAAGCGATTCTAAACTTAGACGTTTTTGTGAACTAATTTGAATATGATAGCTTTTGCTGTGATGGAGCGATCATAGGCAGAAGTCTGACTTGGCTCCGGGTCGCTGAAGATGGATGGTAGTGCCTTCCGATAGGACTTTTAGGGAGGAACTACCCCGCATTTGGGTATCGTAGGGTTTGGTTTCTCTCTCTACGTTCATTTTGTGCACACTTTTGACTAATTATACCGGGACCTATACTTTAACGTGGATTCCGAACCACTCACAAACATACATGAAACCGCCTGGATTCCAACCTGAAACCTGGGGTACCAAAGGCCAGAGATCTTGTCAATTGATCATCAGGCAGCTTATCATATGAGAGAAAACATAAAAAAACTCCCTTTAAGTAGTCTGTCTAATCAGGCAAGATAACATCACAAATGCCATCGATTAACCTCGTTTTTTTAAATAGTGTTTACAACAATGCTGCTGGATTGAACCTCAGATCTAAGGTTTTTGTTAAAGTGAACGCTCTGTTAAATTTGAACACTCATAAGAAAAACACTGATTCATTGAGATATTAAATATTTAAGAAACAAAAACAAAAAAAGTTGGCCTAAGTGGGAAATGGTGCCATAAGTTTGAACACGTGAGCACGTTTTACACAAGTCCTAGCGGGAATCCCTCCGTTGGATATAAAATTGAAACATAATAAAAAATACATGGCATTAAAGCCAACAAAGTTAATATCATAATTCAAGATTTTGCCATGCAGTCAAAAGACACCAATTTTCTTAAGCAAATTGTTCCACCCTGGGACAAACACTCATTTCAATGGAAATATTTCAATGAAGAGATTAAGGACATACTGATCTTTACAGATGGGTCTAAAATTAACAACAGAGTCGGAGGTGCTTTTGTAGTCTTTGAAAATAGAACAGAAGTGTTCAAGCGTTGTTTTAGGCTGATTGACCATACCACAGTCTACTCAGCCGCACAAACGACCATACATATGGCAATTGATTACATCATAAATAGGTCTTTAGAAGCTGCAAACGTCATCACCGACTCGAGATCAGTACTGCAGGCCCTAGAAAATTCCAACAATTTGGATTCTAGCCTTTATGTTATCAAAAATAAACTAGCTCTCTACCAAGGCATTATTCATCTGTACTGGATTAAAGCCCGTGTGGGATTCCAGGGCAATAAAAGGGCAGATAAATAGGCCAAGGCGGCAATCAAGTTTGAAACCAGCTTGTTTTCCACTAAAATAGAAATTTCATTCATTAAAAAGTTAATAAATAAAGAAATCATGACTGAGTGGCAAAAAAAATGGAACATCTCAACTAAAGGTAGGGAGATTTTTGCCCTTCTGAGGTTAATCTTACACGAGCCCAGGAGATTTTTATTTAAACCAAATTATTACAAGCCATGAAACTCTGGCTATCTACCAAGCCAGGTTCTTCAATAAACCAGCCTCCTGCCAATATGGACACCCACGAGAACACTGATTGCATATTTTATATGACTGTCCCCTGTGGAACAACATTCGGCAAAAATTCTTTCAGACAACAAAAATAGAACTATTGCTCTACAATAAAATCTCCAGGTCGGGCATCAGAGAGATCATGTCCAACAAATTACAGGACTCACTTAAACAAAATGAGAATCTACAATAAAGTAAACTTTGAACTTTGATCGTGAACTTTTAATAAGTTGGACATTTAATTAAGACTCCAGTTCATAGTTGCAAAATCATATCGATCTCCAATGTATATACTTTCTATTTTATTTAATCTTTTTTCTTTTTGTGCATCATTAATGTAATCAAGATTTTTGTGTTTAACTTCTTAAAGTGTTTGTCTAATATATGTATT